AAAACATGAGTTGGAAACTATGTATAGTTTCTGTTTGGTTGACAAGAAACACAATTTTTTGATGAAATAAAATGGATTTCTATCTGTTGCCAATAAATAATTGTAACAATTTAAGAAACCTTAGCTGAGTTCGTAATTCCGGCCCATTCAGTGCTCTTGGACTTCCCTCAAAACGAACCTCACCCAACCCGATCCAATGGGAGAGCACGCTGCGGCCTTGTTTTCTTTCTATGGTTAGGATGTTTGGGCCTAATTTGTGCAACAAACCAATCGACCCAAACGGCAGTTCGGCCCGGCTGAGGAGTCTAGATTTTTTGTTTTCTTCTACTTCTTTTTATTTTATTTTATTTTATTTTTGTGCACTTTCACTAGCACAAAAATGGTAAAAATATTCAAATAATTTGGTTATGTTAACTGCCACCTAACCAAAGTTTGTAGGAAATATACATTAACAAACCTGTTGTCTTATTGGAGAAGGGGAAGGGCTATGGATTATGGACAATGAACTTTCTTTCCACTTTTCAGCTCTCACAATTAGGGATGGGTGTGGCATGGTAAGGTACTTGTCATGTAAATGGTGCAATTTTTATATATGGTGCCGAAGGACTTTTGATAATTAGTCATATACCATGCGATTTTTTATTTTTTATCAATTGGTACCGAGCTAATATAGTTATTAGATTTTATTTATCAGTGATCTTTCGTTTTACCATAAAACCTCAAATTCAAGTAAAATGATCATAAAATCTTAAACTCAAAGTATAATTTTCAATAGTAATCTCTAAATATAAATATCAATGACATTAAATAATGACAAATCAAATCTATAATATGAAAAAAAAATCAAATAAAGTTTCTCACTATAATAAAATAAAAGTTCCCAAAATATGATAAAAAAATATTATATAATTTAAATTATAATATATGATGCTAATAAAAAAATTTTTGAATGACAAGAGATACTGTTTGGCATTTAAGAGAAACAAATATTAATGATTTGGTGATTTAAATAGAATGAGATCAATTTTTTTAAAAGAAAATTTTAAATTTAAATTTTATAAATGAAAAAATAAATGTATAAAAAGATTTTTTTAATAAAATCTAATGTAATTTAATTTCATATTAATTAAAATTTAATATAATTATTGAATATTAAAAAATTAATTAAAAAAATATAAAAGAAACAATTTCACTCCATGCCATAATCGTGCTGTCGACAGAACCTGCTGCTAGTTTATCGTGGCGTCCACCTGCTTCGCTGTCACATGCCAATTTAGGGCGGCAGGCCGGCTGCCGGGGAAGACCGGGCATTGCCTACCTTCAAGTCATAATCAAGGACCCTTCACTGGTTTTGATTTGACGTCCTTTAAATTCTCCACACTTGCTACGACACTCAACACTATTTATTACAGGTTCCACCGGCCAACGCCTCAATAATTTGTTGACACACAGCCCAGCCGATCTCCTCAGTACCAATTCATTGAATAAATAAAGATTAGACACTACTTTTGGAATTTTTTTCTTTTAAACTAATGCATTAATCTCTGCACTTTCCAAAAATGCTGCTGAACAAAACATGAAATCTTGGATAAGTGTTTATTTATTAAAACAAATAAATAAAAGATCCTTACAAATATATATGTCCATATATTATTAGTATTTATTTATTTTTTATATTTTTAAAAATTAAAAAATTATTTTAAAATTATATTATTTTAATAA